TTTAATGTTATATAATACGTTATCATCATTTTTCTATGTTAGTTATGATTTTTGTCTCTTTCTGCTTGCGGTGGGATGCGATATGTCACAATAGAAGAATCAAAATGAATCAAAATTGTTATTAGAGGTGATCTTTTCTTTTTTAATATTGTATCAAACTTTATATAAAGTAATAGAAAATATTCTATATAAGTTGTACAATATATTTGTTAAGTATTTTTGATAATTTATCATAAATCTATTCTGCTTACAAATTCAAAATTATCTTTGATTGTAAAAGCCATATTGCAAATATATAAGGTGTTCAATCCCAAGGAACTAATAATATAAATTAGACTCTTTAACAATCATGCTTTATATTTGTTATAAGGCTTTTGCAATCAATAACCTCGAACTTGGAACAGAACAATCTTGAATAGTCAAAATTATATAATAGTTACATTTAAGTGTTATATTTATGTTATGTAACAATGATATTGTTTGAGAGAGAAATTATGAGTAACATGGACGTTACATGTAACGTACACGTTATATTATATATTATATTTCGTTATATTACGGCAGTGTTGCTGTTATATATCTGTGTTTGCTGGATGCTCTCGTCATTATTCATATAATATGTAGGAATTCGGAACAAATGTTTAGGAACCGCGACACTTAGTCTGCACGACCGCGACACTTAATCTGCACAACCGTGACACCTTAGTCTGCACGTTTGCGACACTTAGTTTGCACGACCGCGATATTTAGTTTGCACGACTGCGACACTAAATTTTCACGATCACGACACTTATAGTCTGCACGACCGTGACACTAAGTCTGGACGACCGCGACACTTAGTTTGCACGATCGCGACTCGAGTATGACTGCAGTATTGCACATGACGACAGCAGACTAGTTGTTTGTGGATTACCTCGTTCCCGAGGTCCCTGCATCTCGATCAGTTCCATAAATTTTGCCTGCTTTCTTCGCCATATTGCAAAGCATGTCTATTGAGCATTTATGAGCTGATTTTAATGAGAGCGCCCATTCTTTTAAGCTTATCTCGTCCTATAATGAATTAAATATAATTAATTTAGAATTTAACATTTAGAATTTAATATTTTAACGTTAAACCATTTAATTAAATAATTCACATGACTCAAATTCTACTTCTAAAAATCTGAAATCCATTCAATTTATTTATGAATTTTTCTATAAAGCTTTAAATGTTCTATGTACTTTGAAAATCTTATCAATACCTTTCATTAATATCGTTTACACTATATGAATTATTTAAAGTTTACATTTAAATGTTTTTATCTTAAATTGTTTAATAGTTAGGTCATTCAAATCAAATCTTTTGTCTAAATTCTAATTATTACACATTTCATTTTGATTATGGCAAAGATACTGAAAGATTCACTTACGACACTTGTAAGCATGATCTTCGCGTCCTTCGTACGTATCACGATGGACTGTTCTCCTTTTACGAGCTCAAGGTCCGCTCCAACTTCCTCGACCTGAAGAGTTCGCATTGCACAATATAAATTATCCTTTGCGAATGAGGCAAAACATGAAATGTATCATATCACATTTCAAGTAATAGGTTCGATGCATCTATAATACTATATATTTTAAAAAGATCGCGGTTTTATTTCTTTTTCTTCTATATCAGAAATAGTAGAGTACATTAGATATCTCTATTATTTCTGGTTAAATGATTCGTTTACCTGATCAAGAAATACGAGTTCAGTCTTGGTCGATTCTGGATGCAACTCTAACCGATTTGGATACAATTTCGCATAGCGCGTCTGCCAAACGTTCGCAAATGGACCTCCTAATTTTTTTAGATAACCATGTAATATACAATCCGAACCTGCAAGTATAAATAAATACTGTATTGATTACAATTCCATTCACACTCTAAAATGTTCACGCGATGCATTTACCCTTTTCATCTGTATCAAAGCGTTGCTTTTGTTTCGCCTTTTTCTTACTTTCCAACTACAAGGACAAAACAAAGCAAATTTTTATGTTAATAAAGACTCGATAATCATGAAGTTATTACGGATAAGTAGACGAAATATTTATCTCTTACCTTGTCTGTTTCGTTATTGACTGTATCGAATACAGTCTCGGCCACTTCAGCCTGCCACCTTTCAGAGACGACTACAGAGAAGTCATTGTAAAGATCCTGATCAGCATCCGTCAGCTTGATACCTTTCGTATCTTCCTCATCGAAGGAGCCGATGTCGAAGGCATCCGCGGCATTGACCTCGCCACGCGGTGGTATTAATGGCGGCGTATACTTTTGTAGATATACCTGTCGCCAATCGATCCCGCTGAAAAACGGATGCGCCTTTAATTCATTTGCGCCATCCGTGCCGTTGCCCCGACAGCCGAGTCTATTGTTGACGTCTCGCTGTAGCAGACCTTCCAATAATGACCGTAAATCCCGCGAAAACGTCTCTGGTATTTCAACGTCCTGCGATTGATTAAACAAAAATTAAATCAAATCTTGACATATGTAGATTTTCAAGAGATTTTGAAAATCATCTTGAATTTTTTAATCATGCTCATTGCATATTGAATTGTAATGTCAAAAGAGAGAAATCATTTTCTTTGTTTATATTTAAAAAAAAATTAATGTTCACTAATTCTTATATTAACAAATGAAAGATAAACGAAGTGCGCATATTTATGCACATATATTACATATTTAAACAAAAAGAAAAACCTTGTATGGATTGACAGTTGTTTAATTAATTTACCAGAAAAAGTCTTTCGCTAATTTTGCAAAATTATTCTATTGAATGCATGACAGCCCATATAAAAAAAGTTAATTCATTTTTATGTACAAAAATTCACGAAAATTTTCGCTTCGACATATACTATCACAATCCAATATGTTGGTAACAAATGATTGAAAAATAATGCAACGCACCATGGTCAATGTCATACGATCTATTTCATGTTTATCCTTGACTGTACTTCGCCTAAACGGACTGTGTCCTTTCAGGAGTTTGTACAGCACACAACCGAAGGAAAACCAATCTGCACTGGAGTCATACGGTGTGCCTTTTGATAGTACCTCCGGCGCCATATATCCATGCGTGCCACTGTTAGAACAGAGAGTTTAGACTGTTGCGCTACACATCAAAAAGTTTGATCATTCGATTACATACACGCTCGCGTGTGGCTTCTTTTTCGAGAAATCACATGCCAGTCCCAGATCCGATATCTTTACGTGACCGTTCTCGTCCAGCAATATGTTCGCAGGCTTCAGATCACGGTAGACAATGTATCTGCAATGCATATGTTCCAAGCCGAGGATCACCTCCGTGGCGTAGAACTTCATTTCTGGCTCGGTGAAGATCCCGTGTTGACTTAGATGATAATGCAGATCACCACCGTTCATCAGATCCAGGATGAAGCACAGCTTGTCGGTGGTTTGAAATGCATATGTCATGCATACTATGAAGGGACAATCTGCCTGTAGTGACAACGTTTTCATGTCACGTCGTATCATTGTCGCCGTGATTAATTATAAAAGCATTCTTTTTCTTTTTAAAGTAAAAAAAGAAGTCGCTTACCCCAGTGCTAACTACTGAAAGCATAATCCTTTCGTTGAGAGCTAACGTCTCACCCTGCTTCATTTTTATGCGCTTTTTATCCAGACATTTCATGGCGTACATCTTGCCAGTATCCGCTTTCCTACAACCGTACACTTCACCGAAGCCACCCCTGCCTATTATTCGGTGCACGCTGAAGTCGTTCATCGTCAGCTGTAATTTCCGTTACAAAACGCACGATAATTTAATCACGAAAATTGTTCCTTGAAAAAGAAAGAGAAAGAATTATTCATTCTGTACCTGCATATTTAATTCTAAATTTTTCCACTGGCAAAAACGGACGTACTTATCGCTAAAAACATATACAAGTTCTTTTTATTTACAGGTTACAGCACACACCCACACACGTACACGCACACACGCGGAGATTCATTTATTTGCGAATTGTCAGGATGCCATTTTTACCTTTCCAGAAACTTTTGAAACGGTTCCCCTCGTAGATGGTTGAAAATTTCCTCGATGTATGGCTATGGGGGAAAAAAAAGTTTTTGTGACTCACGTACATCGATCATGTGTGCGTTAATTGCGTTAATTGCAAGACAATGACCTACCTCGAACAAGTTATCCGGGACTTCATTTTTTCACGAGATATTTGTGCACGTGAGATACCGCCTCTTGCGAATATTCCTGCAAAATAACATACCGTTGCACATTTAAAAAA